CAACCACAGGAGCAGCACAGTCGTCCAAGTATAGTAGGAAAGCTACTGAGGGCAAAATAGATGTAGAATTGGGTTTCTGCTCATATGAATGGAATGATGAATAAACATGAACAATGAACAGATTAAAGGGGTCATATGATGCGATTTTATTTTTCCTTTCTCTTTAGAGTGTTACAAGCTCTTGGTGCATAAAGAAGATCTGTAAAGTTGCAAAGACTAAAGTCTCAAATCCAAAGAGATATTCTTTATAAAAGTTAAGAGTTAGCCACACCTACCTAAAACGTCTCGTTTGAAGAGCGGCAGTGGCATAGTGAGTGTTTCACGTGTATGCAGTGCTCTGTGTCTCTGGTGGGCCGTGGCTTCCTCACCCAGAGAGATGACATCCTGTGCACTGACTGTGGCAGGGAGAAGTGAGCTCACCCGACTGGGTCAGACAACCACAGGAGCAGCACAGTCGTCCAAGTATAGTAGGAAAGCTACTGAGGGCAAAATAGATGTAGAATTGGGTTCTACATCTATAAATAGATCTAGCTCATATAAATGGAATGATGAATAAACATGAACAATGAATAGATTAATTATCTGTGTAGCCTGCTGATTAGGATGCTTAATGTATTGATTAATAAGCTTTCAACAATGATTTGGAAACAATTGTCTTTATAAAGCCTGAACCAGCATGGAATAATATTGAAAATGTTAGAAGTTTGTCACACGAAATGCACTTTTGGTCAATAAACTTTGTTTTCTTCTTGTCTACTTCCTGTTTTTTTTAAGTCTAAAGATACATAATCATACACAACCCCTACCTCTAGTAAGAAAGTAATATATTTAAAATACATTTATTTCATACTAAGTACAGTTCAAATCTATTAACATAATTTCTGACATATTGCTCGAGACTTACTGATATAAAAATTACAATTAAACTTTATTTAAAGTACTACTTGTGCACAATGCACATTTCTTTGTATTAAGCCTAAAATGTGTTTTAATGTCACTACTGATGAGGATTGTCTTTAAATGCAAGTTATTTAAAGTATACCTGAAGTATACTTGCAATAGTTCCACTTTAGCACATTCAAATATACTTCTTTAGTTGGACCACAGCACTACTTCCACACAATTAAAGTGCAGTAAGCACAAAATTAGTTGTTTCAATTTAGCAGACTTCAAGTATACCAGTTTAGTGTACTAAAAGTGCATTTGCAGGGTATTTTTTTTTAAAGTACATAAATATATCATTTTTGTAGTATACTTAAAATGAATAAATGCTTTTCAAATACACTAGGGACAACTACAATGCATACATTAAGGGACACCATAAAGAAGGTGAAAGTTGGGAAGGATTATAAATGACTTAAATGACTCTGGGAGCAAGATGAGTGATTCATATTTTTGGTTCATTTTCCCTGGAGAGAAACATTTTATATGCATGAAAACTGCTAATTTGTTGTGACTTAACTAGCATAAACAGTCAAAAACAAACATGATCTAAAGGCCACTAAATTCCCATTTTGATTTCATTTTTTAAAGATGCACTCAGTAATTTTCTGTTTCGCTGGCAAAATTAAGTGAGTAGAGGTACGTTCACGCCAAGTCAGAATTACTGTGTTATTACATGATTCTGACTTGTAAAAAGCATTCACGTCCTCATAGAACTTGTAATTACAACTTGTAAACTCTGACATTTTCTAAAAAGCTCCGACTTCTACGACCTGACCGCTGTATCGTCATGTAGAAACACTCAAAATGACGGTAGCTTCAAATGTAGTGTGCACACTTAAATATAGAGGAAACTTTAACATTAATGAAACTTTCCTATGTACAGAAGGTTCTTTGTAGTGGAAAATGGTTCTTTAGATTATAAAAAATGTTTTTCACTCTAAAAAAAAATGTGGTTCTACGTAGTGGTTCTGTGTGAAAAAAAAATCCAGTTGTCAATGCAAGATGAATCTGAAAAAACAAACAAACATGGGTGCCATCAGAATGAGAATCTAAATATTGTGATAAAATTTATTTTTTAAATGTTTATTAAAAAAAATTACAATAATACATTTTTTAAATCAACAAATACTACAAATATGTTTCACACAAAATATGCCACATTCACACTGACTTTAAACCAGCGGTTCTCAGCTCTAGGCTGCGTTTCCCAAAGGCATCGTAAGTTTAAGTACATCGTACACCCATTGAAACGTAGGTCCCAGTGAAACAGGATCACAAGGGCGAGACTAAAGGGATAAATCCAGGAAAACAGGCACAGATCAAAAGAAAAAAAAATCCAGTTGTCAATGCAAGATGAATCTGAAAAAACAAACAAACATGGGTGCCATCAGAATGAGAATCTAAATATTGTGATAAAAACATCACAATAATCCACACGACTCCATCAAATTCCTTAATGATGAATTTGTTTACTACAAACACACATCATTTGACTTTATAAAACATAACAGATGGACTGAAGTCATGTGGATTACTTGTGGATTATTGTGATGTTTTTATCAGCTGTTTGGACTCTTGTTCTGACGGCACCCATTCACTGCAGAGGATCCATTGCCGAGCAAGTGATGTAATGCTACATTTTTCCAAATCTGTTCCGATGAAGAAGCAAACTCATCTACATCTTGGATGGTCTGAGGGCAAGTAAATTTTCAGCAAAGTTTCATTTTTGAGTAATCTATTCCTTTAATGCTCTATTGCATTTTAAATGAACATACTCCTAAACTAAACCCTACCCTAATCCCAACTGATAGCATGAGCAAAAGGGACCGGATTCGTGACAGAAACCAATGGAGCTACGATCAACTTAAGCTTACGATGCTTTTGGGGAACACAGCCCTGCACATTTTGTATGTTTCTGAATCTCACACACTCAGTTCAGTTCATGGATCTCTCTCCTAACAAGCTGATGATCTGAATCAGGTGCGTTAAATAAGGGGAGACATACAAAATGTACAGAGCAGTGGGTCCCGAGGACTGGAGTTGAGAACCACTGCTTTAAAACAATCAGATTTGAGTATGCAATCTGAGCTTGTTGCCATAATCTGTAGACACTGATAATAGCAATATCATACTTTTAATTTTATAGTCATTTAATGGCACATTTTTAACTATTTCC